TGAACTCCTAGACTGTATGCAAATATATATGTATGCACATTTTGTTTCTCTAGTAAGAGATCTATAGGCATGGGTAAGAATGGAATCAGTGCCAAGATACAGCATACACAGCTAAAAAAAAAAATCCCCTAAAACATCTGTGACTGTGCAGAGGCAAATTTATCCTCAAGAATATATGCTTTTTAGTTGCTAGGAAAACCATAAACTAACATCAAATAACCATGGCTTTCATTACTAGCTGAAAATACTTAAGAGTCAAATGCTATGGTCTTAAGTCAACCACAGCAACTGGTGTAAAATGTCTGAATCAAGATCACACAAGATCTGGCTTAGGGATGAGCAGTCCTGAGCTGTGGCCTGTGAAATCACAGTACCAGTCTGCCCATGGGCTGTGTTCTCCTTGGGCCTACCACAGTACTTCAGTGCCAGGACATTTGTCCAGGATGAAATCTGAGGGCTGATAATGGCATCTGAATATGAAAAATTGAGCAACACTGCTACACACTAAAGGGTTAATTTCTAGCCCATTTAGAGGGAAACACAACAGCCTTTTTAAAGAGCATTCAATGATGCTATTGTTAAATTGGCTTTAGCGTTGAATATTCATTTCAAAGCTCCGGAGGAGACAAAAATTACAAAGGAAATCATTCAGTGTTTAATATTGCAGAGGTTTATATTTGTTGTAGTTTTTGGCAATAATGAGGGAAAATACTTTCTAGAAGTACTGCTGATTTTCAGCTCAACCTTTCCTTGAATGTGTTAACATAGGGACAAAAAGGGCAATGTTTATGTCCATTTTTGAGAGACGTATACTAATACGCAGTGATTGGAAATGTGATTATTCCAAAATTCAATCCAAGATAGCTATCAGGAACAGGGAGAAGTACAAGCAGAGCCAACTTTCGTTTGATGGCAATTACAGAGCGCAAGTTTAATAAATGTTCTTTTCATACAGTGCCATTCACACCACCTTAGAAAATATGAAGCCATTCCAGGGACTAAAACTGGAAAATTAGCTGCCAGTGGCATAGTGTATTTCCAAGTACAACATGGCTTACTGTACTGCATTAGCCAAAGCTTGAGGCCTCCACAAGGTAATAATAAACCTCAGTACAATGTCAGTTCAGAGCTTTTCACTGTATAAAAATCTCAGTTCTACAGTTTGGATTCTACCAAAATAATTGATGACAAGTTAAAAACTGTGCTTAACCACACTTTACTGACAATGAGTGAAATCTACCTTTAGATGTCATTGAATTTGCTCCATTTATCAAGGCAGTTATCTGAGATGACTTGGAAAGGGTCGTTTGTACACATTAGTGTATTTTAAATGAGAAAATCCCAGAAAACGGATGCTGTCAGCAGAAAAGATATGCTGGTCTGGTAACCTGAGTAGCAAACAGCAGCAGTAACAGATAGAAAAGGCTTAGGGTGATTTTACAGGAACCACACCATGTGCCAACACAAGGCTATCAGCAAACTGGAGCCAGAACGTTTCAGAGCCTTCAGGTTTGGTGGAAGGAGTGCAGGAGAAATGAAAATTCACTTGATGAAAAGCTCCGGTCTTTAAATGAACGGTGCCTCAATTCTTGTCAGCTCTTTTCTCGCTACCTTGAAATTCTCACATGCAGTAGCACAACCTAGTGCTTGAGTGCTGCAATAACATGCTGAGCAGAGACTGCGAGCTCAGCACACTACCTACCTCCATCAGGTTTTAGGTAACAGCTGCAAATCCTTCTTCCATTCAAAGCCCTGAAGCCCCTGTATTAGAAAAGATGCTGAGCCTAACAGCACAAACGCACTGCTTAAGTGTTTCCTCCCTGAGGAAGAGGCAGAGTCGTAACGAGGAACTGAAAGAGCAGAGGAAGCAGTCTAAGATGACGGGATGTTTGTGACCAATCTTTTAACCAGATCCTCTAATCCTCTTGCAACAAGAAAACAGAAAAGACTGCTGTGCCCTCACCGAGGATAGACACCAACTAACACATATCTTAAATCAAATCACCTACTTCCAGAAAGCTGTTACCAGCAGAGACAGCATATGACCAGCTAAGCAATTAAAGGAGAGAGCACATCTTTAAAAGCCTTGCCCAGAAAGTAAGTGGCAAAGAAAGACTCTGAAGTTTATTACCCTTCATGGGAGGAAAGGTCATTACAGCAAAATCATGCAAGCAAGGTCTTGGGACAGCAAACATCGAAGATTGAAGCAATCATCCTTCCTCCCAAAGGGGGAGAAAGCTCTCTACCAGGTTAACAGGAACAAAATCTCTAGTGAAGTCTTTTATACAAATACCACAGAATGGAAATGATTAAAGCCTTCAGTTTCTCATTTATTTAACAACAGAGCAGTGTTGAAATGATCCTGGTTATGAACCAAAGGGTAGTTCAGAATTTCCTTGGAGGCATTGCTATTTTAAGTGGTTTAACATAAAATGCATTATATAGTAATGGCACACCATATGCTTTCTGTGTTTTGCTGTGAAGAGACTGCCAGATGGGCTTTGATACTTCTAGCTTCAAGTGTCTGAATGGAAAAGATTAGAAGAAAGAAGAACTGCCAAGATCACACTAAATAATTCTGTTTCTTCTTTTGTAAAGTATGTGGCAAACGCAGAGCTGCCACGTTCTTTACCAGATGACAAAGATATTAACAAAGTTGTGCAGGATGCTCAAGAAACTAAGGTGTCACAGTCCAATCTGAGCTAAGATAAGCCATAAATGCAGTAAATTTGGAACCTAAATTAGTGGTTGGCTGTTCACACTCTCATCCCTCTGCCACGAAGCAGAAGGAAATGATTTTGGAATAACTCTCTTGCTTACCTCATAGATTGATTCAGAAAAAAAGGACAGAGAGGATGACACATAAAACCAAAGGCACTTCCTAGCATCCATAAGAAATAGTCAGAAATCTCATTTCAAGCTTGCAATTACTTCAACTTTTGCAGCAGTGCTGTATTCAAGCTCACAGAACAGGCAGGTATGAGAAGGGGAATATCTGGGTAGATCTTCACAAAACAGGTAGGCACTATGGGAGACCAAGAGATTCTGTAGCAAGAATTTTCATCCTTACAACCCAACATGACTTAGTTTCACTCCTGGAGACCCCATACAGGGGAGCAGATGCAATCAAGTCATCTAATGTCATACGTCCACTGCCTTTTTGTAAGAGTTAACCATGAGGTCCTGGTCAAATTCTACCTGAAAGAAGTTTAAAAATGAGCTTTAAGACAAGAACAAAAAACCCCAAAACACTCGGCTTTTAATGGGACTCATTCAGTTACTTCTGAAAAATACTCTTCTGCCTTTTTAACTCCCACTGGCTTTTTGCTGTGATACAGCATTCTTCTAGTGCTTTCCTAAACTGGCGTCCTGTACAGACTGAACCAGCTTATTTCTCTTCAAAAAGCATGACTGTTTCACACTACCAGAAATGAAGAGGATGTTCATTATTTACTCAATAAATAGTTTGCTGCCAATTTAATACACTTTCGTTTCCATACTACCAGGTCTTTATATTCAAGAGTGTTTTCTCCATGCTTCAACATGCCTACTATATAAACTAACATCCCACTATATAACATGAGCTATGGGAGGACTAAACACTGATGTACTGACCTTGCAACTTTAGTTCTACAAAAGAAAGCACTACAAGCAAAGTTACAATACCCATGGCAAAGCTTCCAAGTACTACCGCCCCTGTGTCTGCAGAGACAGCAATACTGTGATCAGAGCTGCTGACAGACTGGATGTGAGCATGACTGTTTGTAGAGAGGGGGCACTGAAAGCCAACAAAATAGCTGACCATCTGCTTTCTACACAACTTACTGTGCTATGGACAGGGTAAAAACTTGCCTCGTAGCACTGCTCTCTCCAGATGCTCTCACTTTGCATTTATTTCTGTGACACAACCAAATTATTAGCAGTTCTCCTTCCCAGAACATGAACTCTCTGGGAGTCCTTCCAGCAGGGAAAAGAACGCAGTCAGTGTCTATACAGCATAAACTACCCCTTCGTGGTGAAGGAGGAGGCATTTAGAAGCAACTAAATCTTTGTTCTCTCTGCTTTTAGAATCAGATGACTGATTAGAGCTATCCAAGCAAGTAGCCAACTGATGCAATTTCGTTTTGGATCTGACTATTTACAGCAGGCTTTGCTCACACTCTGCAGAGAGGTTCAAGAGGATTATGCATTCCAAGCACTGTGAACAGGTATTTGCATCACTGCCAAAGAGGAAAAATGCCCTTTGAGTCTTCTTGTAACTATGAAGGAAATATTTTCTTTTCTACACAGGACTTCCCAAAATAAGAAGAATGAACTCCAGGTTCAACTTTACTGGAAACTGCAGGAGGGGAGGCTCAGTGACACAGTATTTACGTAACTGAAACGTACATCTCAGAAATCCTGGGGGACAAACACCACAAAAAGAGAAGCTGAACATCTCAGTTTGCTCTGGAGTAAATAGAGAGCATAACCCTGTTTTGACAGATTCACCTGAAAATTAACTTCAGAATAAGATTTTCCCCATACATTTATATTAGAATTTTATTTACTTATTACCTCCCTGCAACACAATCACCTTTTTTTTAATCACCTCTTTGGAAGGAACGCATTTTTCCTTTAGAAAGTTCACAAAAATAGAGCAGGAGTTGGGTTAGGGGGTTCTTTGCAGTTCTCTTACTGTGTTCAAAACCCATTTACAACTTACAACTTCATCCTCAGAAAACATTTTATGGACTCTATTTTGCACTTGGACCATGTGAAAACATGCTAAAACCCAGCACACTGACAAGAACCTACCTGAGATATACAGTGGTAACCACTGGCCCACTTAAGGAAATACTCATCCATGTAGGTGTTAGCGAGTGAAGGAGAAGATGTTTGGATGAGTAATGGTAGAATATAGGTTGATCAAAACCCAACAGGTTATCATACTGTGCACTTGGGGATCAGTTTTTCAACATTACCATGAGTTTATACTTCTAATCAAAAGCACAACTTACTTGGTTAGCTTATGGCCTTTCATTGCTATGAGGAAATTCCTCACCGTCTCGGGACTCTGGTACCTACAGGGTGTTTTGGAAATGTACTTCAGGGTCTGCAACAGACAGAAAGAAAGTATTTGTTATTTCACAGTTACTCTTTGGTCTACCGGTTGTGCATGGAACAAGCTGGTTTTTGGGAAGTCTCCTCAGTATTACTGAGAAAAACTGGAAAAGTCAATTCCAGTGCTTGGGGTTTGGTTTCTTATTTAGCAGTGGGAAGCACTGTCATAGATGACACAGATCACTCACATTTTTCTACCTTCAATAAGCCTATACTGATATGTGCTGAGGGAGTAAGAAACAGGCAACACCTAACTACAACTTTACGTGATGGAAATTACATTAGTACTTATCCAGAAAGCCCCAGCAAATTTATTCTGTAATGACATGAATCAACCAGTTCATTACACATCCAGGTGAGAATCACAGCTTTGACTATTCCCTCCGTGGCCCTGGAGGCCATTCCTCTTATCTCTTCAAAGCCCAAAGTCTTCTTCAAGAAGAACACAGGAAAGGATCGAGTTTTAGCTCTGTCTACTAAAAACCCACCTACTGCAGTGACAGCAGACACTTGCTTTCTTGGCTTGAAATGATTTTACGTGATGCTAAGACTGTGATCAAGACATACTTACAGCTGTGCTGAATAGTATCACTCAGATTTACTTCTTTTAAAACTACCAAACATTTACTGTCAAAGCTAGATTAAAAAGTTAAAAAGTTTTGTGGTGTTTATTTCTTTGTTGTTGGTTTGGGGGTGTGAGGGTTTCTTTGTTTTCAAGCAGTAACACTTCAGACAAGTTTGATCCTATTCATCCTTAAAACCATGTTATCCTCTGCCAAGCTTTCACATACTCATTGCCAGGGATACTCTCACTGCCAACCCATAAATAACTCAGTAAGCTCTCCAATCTATGGTTGTTTTCATCCTTCATATGCTATTTGGCAATACTTTGTGAAAGTTCATTGAAGCAGGTTAGATGGGTTGTCATGAACATCTGCAAGAACTATGAGAAATGCTCATCTGACAAGACAATTTATCTTTGCTCTACCTTTTGCATGTAACAGCCATCAACCTCAGCTAACTGTTGCAGCATGTTACATCTGCTTGCTTTGTTTAAAACAACAGGACATGCAGCAGACAGATAATACATAATGTAACTTGACAGGAGTAAGAACCAAACATCTGTTGACAAAAACTCCACACAAATTCCAATTCACAGCTGTCTTTTCAGTGGAAATAGCTTAGAATCTTGCTGAATGTTGCTTGCTGCTGGGATTAGACCCCAAAATGAAACTTGAAAATAACGCTCATCAGTGGCAAAGACAAGGAAATCCTTGCATTGTCTGCACTGTGTGCATCAGCAACTGAAGGATTTAAGACTATTGTCAATGTTTGGTTTGCATTAAGGAAGAAAATCTTCACCTGTTGAGTACCAATACAACTGACTCCTGGTGCACTTACTGGATGGCAAATAGAGAGACACGTGTAGCAGGACACCACATGCACAGATTGTCTATAACGATAATAAAACCCCCTACAATTCTACATGGTAATCTGAGTTTCTTTCTTAGAAAATGTTATATATTTATATTGGAAAGTCAGAGGCCAAAAAGGCAGCATCAGTATCCTCAAAACAGAAAACAACAGGCACTGGTTAAAAATGAGCTATAAGAGCAACTAAGGCAAATCAGAAAATAGGTAAATGTATTTCCAGTGTATCTCCATTCAAATACGTTATCATTTTAAAATGTTAGGTAAAAGAAAAGAGACTTCAACAGCACAGGATAAATCATCCTACTACATAGGTAGAGAACTGATGAAATATGAATCACTGGTATTTTAAGCACAAGGCTCATTGGACTGTTCAGAAATATATTTAAAAGCACAATAAGGTGTTAGATACCCCTCCTTTCTACAAGCCGTGCCTGACCTTTTCAGACAAAATGAAGTTGTCACTCATCAATAATGACTGATACTAAATCATCATATTGTCATGTAATAAAATTGCTTAATAGGAGTCATTTTCTTTTCCAGTTTAGTCTTTCTTTAGCAATTTCAAATCAAAGTGCTGGACATACAGCAGAACAGAGCTCCAGTTTAGAAAGCTTCACCTAGTTATTTCACTACCAGTGGATACAAGCCTGTCCACAGTTCATGAAGACATACTCAGTATGAACAAAGACAATCAAATTCTGGTTTTCTTTCAGTCAGATATAAAGAAAATATACCTAGAGTGTATACCAGTTTCACTCCATGCACAAAAGTAAGCTTCCTATAGGTACTTAACACATAGCAATTTAACAAAGCGATTAAAGCTTTAAGGTACCTTCTGACAGCATATACTTACAGGGTCTTTCTCAGCTGTTTCAAAGTGGTACAGGAAGAGACTGTCTGTCTCCATGAAGATTTAAATTAGACTTTATGTAAGCCCCTATTTTGTTGAATATGAGGCTTAGGAATTACAACCCGGTACCTTTTCAAACAAAGCCAGAACTAAAACTAAACAAAGCCGAGGCCAAATCTTATTCTCATGAGTAGTTTTGCTGCTCAACAGGATTACTCATGCAAGCAAGGCAAACTGCTTTCAACTCAATGCTAATCATGGTGCTACTCACGCAATTCTCCAACACAGACACAACAGGTCACACTGCAAGTCTGTATTGAAGTTGCTCATTTGAGATTTCATACAATTTCATACAATTTTAGAAGTTTTTCCTAGCAATAGATTAAACCATCATTACCAGTCTGACATCCAACTCATGTTGCCATCTGAGTAAATGATTTGGCTATTCTTTTGACAAAAAGAAAAAAAATAGTTGGAAATTAGTTTATTTCTGTTAATACAGAAAATACCACATGTGACCTGTGCCTCAGTTTTGGAATCATGATTACATGGTACCATCAATTCATCAGATGAAAGAAAGCTCTGCTCTGTATCTTAAAAGAAGAGAATATTTGGGATAAGAATAATAATAAGAAAAGAAGTCACAAAACTAAAACAGTTAACAAACCATTGTGACAGATTTTAGTAAGAGCAGTCTCTGCTCCGATAGTGCAGGCAGCCATAACCTGAGCAAAGTGACCACAGAAAAGTGGCAAATACAGCACTCAACTGTAGTTTATACAGGGGAGATCTGATACAAAATTGTTAATATACAGACCTAAGGAAGTGACCTACTCCAGTCTGGGCTAATTTGCAAAGGAATGTCACAGTGCTACTCACTTCATACATGATCGTGTTCAGATTCTGCTGACCAGAGCTCTGCTTGTTTCTCCCACTCTCTTTGCGCTGCTGCTTAAGATCAGTGAGTAACTGGAACACCTGAGGGAAAAAAATACAGTATTTTAGACCATTTGAGAGCATTTTCCCAGGAAAACAGAAATGAACAATGCAAAATCCTGCCAACCAAACAAAAATAACGTGGCTACTTTGGTGAAGAATGCACCAGCAATTGAAGTGAAAAATGTTACAGCACCAGAACAATGAAAAGGTATGTAAATTGATTTTTAATAACAGATTTTCAGCACTTGTTAAGCGTTATCCAAGAGCTCCAAAGGAAAAGTTGCCAGGATTAATCCATCCTACTTGTTTATCTTATGTTCTGAACACGGTTGGGTCATACCCTGATGTACTGGCACAGAGCTCCCATTTAAGTATGAGTGACGCTTGAAGCAAAAAGTCACACAAGTTTATGGCCCTACTGAATTTGTTACAAGAGATGGACCTATAATATTAAAAGGGATACGTATCCCATCTCACAGAGATGCAATTTTACTTTATGTGCAAAAAAAGTAAACTCGACAACTGTCAAAATGCCAGGAACCAACTAAATAAAGGCTTGACCTATAGAAGCTCCAGAAATTAGTGATCCCATTATAAATTCCAGTGGAGTTATTCATAATAGTAAATGTTACAGTGACCAGCACAGTGTTATGGTATGTTAAACCACAAAGATTAAATTAGCTCCCCATTTCATCATAGCAATGTAATATAAGCAGACATTCCTGAAAAGAATGCAATAAACTTATCTTCACATTTATGATACAGTGATTATTAACGTAGGAACGCGATTCGAAGTCTGAAGGCAAGGAAGATGTTTTGATTTTTGCAACTGTGCTTTGTCAACTTCGCTGCAACACCACAACATCTTTACTCATCATAGCTACATCCACAGTAACATGCTGAGACAGCATCACAATTACTCTTTTATTCCCATACTAAATCACGTTAGGTTGAAATTTCTTCAGATGTTTTGCTTCAGGCTTTACAGTATATCAGGAGCCAATACCCACAGCAAAGTAACAGACGACTTCTTTCTATTCATCCCTTAATTTTTAACTAGCTTCATTCAAGATCAGGATAAGATCTCTGGATCATATAAGACATCTTGATCATATCAAGATCCATGATAGACTGACAAGTCCATAGAAATAAGAACACAAACATTTCTAGATACTGAGAAATAAGAACATAACCTGCAATCCCTTTATACTGCATCTTCTGTGAACACCCGTCAATCCTGACTTGAAAGCCAAAACTCAAGTTAGGAATTTTTACCTAATATATATTTGAAGAAAATGTAGCCAGTGACACCAAAACACAACGTAACAACTCAAAACTCACACAAGAAATGTAGGCATGGAACATAAAACATGTCAATCCTGAATACTTCTTTCAAACACCACTTTCTGAGCAAAATATTACCTCGATACAGAGAATGTTAGCTATGGCAGTCAAACTGCAACTGAAAAGAGGAGCAAACAGAAAGATATCACTAGTTTCAGGGGAATCAGTATTTTGAAGAGCAGTGAAAAGCCATGCCCCAAAAGCCTATAGCTGCAGACACTGCAAATCCCTTCCTGTAAAGAATGAAAAGCTGCATATGTGACAACTTTGCTGTGAAAGGGAAATGAGAAATAAGCATTCTCATCAGTATAACTTCATTTTCCACTTCCTTTTGCTCTTTTCCAACACACATGGTACATTCACCAACAAAAGGACTCAGCTGAAGAAAAGTTCTGACCAGAGAGCATGAAGAATGGATTCTGCAATTCTCTCTATTCTGGACCATACCTTTAGGACACATGTAGATTTTACACAACGTGGCTGGCATCACATGAACCTCAGCAGACAGTATCTATATTCCAACAATATCCCAGCATGTGAAGAAGGCAGAGATGATTTTGCAGTAAATAATCTCTGAAACACTTGCAATTTTCCTTCAATAGTAGTTGTTTCTAACAAACAGCCACCTAATACTAGTTTGGCTGACAAAATATCATCTATTTCTCAGGCAAAACAGTTCTTTCCAAGTGAGTCATTAAAGCCCTTCTAACAGTCCCCAGATGGTTGCTCTGCTGTACACAGACAGATGCAGTTCATGATAAAACATTTCAAGATTTATTTCAGAAGAGATGGAAACAGCTGTGCAACACTCAAGCTTCAGTAACAAAATAATACAAAGCAGTTGGCTCATTAAAACCATGCCAAAAACTTACATTCATGAACAAAGCACTGAAATCTCTCCAATACCTGACTGCATTGCTATTTGTTTCGTGTATGCCAATATTCATTGTTTGTTTCAACAGGCCACTGTAACTTCCTTGTGGCTCCAGACTAAGGGACATCACTGGCTCCTAGGAGTGTTTATACTGAATAACGCATGTCAGATGAGCCAACTGCGTCACCCTTCCTATAATCTAACCTGCTCTGGAAGATCTTCACAAGAATACAAGCATTCAGGGCTGTAAGACTGCATTTCCAGTAGCACTGGCTTTCATACAACTATGCATTAATAACTTGCAGGTTCTTGGACATCACAAGGTTAAAGTTAAATATGAAACAGTGATTCTAGCAGCAGCCATCTGTGAAAAGTTTTCTGCAAGAGTTCTTATTTGCAATATTAAAGACACTCCAGTCATCAGCGTGTCACTCACTTGGTGCTATACTGGCTTGGCAAAAGATTAAACTAAAAACTAAAAGAGAACTTGGATATTGCTGCTCAGTCACATGGGGGTCAACACGCACCATTTGGGAACCACTGAATCTAGTGCACTTGCCCAACTGTGCAAGTGTTTAAAGATGTGGAGAATCAAATTCTAAATGACAACCTACCATAAACAAGAGGATTCAGCAAAGTAACCACACAGCAACTGTGTAAATACTGAAGTTCAAGCTACTGACATTCTACATATCTGCTTCTCATCCATGTTTATATCTGGTTTTATAGATTTGGGACCAAACTAATAATAATACAACTCATTACTGGTAAAAACATTTCCAGATTTTCTTTGAAAAGCTTTTTTTCTTAAAACCAGATCAAATGCAGGGGGGTGGAAATCACGCACCAGTCTTGCTGACTGCCACTGACAACTTTCAACTACTACAAGGAGTATCCAAGTGACTTATGACAGCTTTAAAGTGCTGGTTCAAAACCAGAACGCAGCTAAACTTACCTCAAAGTTACTGAGCAATGCAGCGTTTGCGTCCTTCCTAAAAGGAATAATAAAAACACTTATATTCCAAATGAAACCATTTAAAGGTTTTCTTGGCTGGTCACACATTCTAAAAGAACAGATGCTGTTTCCATGAAGCGTTGCCCTCTCTGAAAATAGTTTTCCATGCATATTACATAAATATATTTTGCACGCTATGCCCCCTAAATCCTAATACACTTGTACAACATAATCTATTCACTCAGCCACTCTATTTTATTCGCTCGCCCAGTTTTACACACTAAAACCAAACTGCCTTGCTTCTTCCTTACAAAAAACCCCAAAGGCCTCTAGTTCTATCTGAATTAAGACTGATGGAAAATATAATCCAGATTACACATACCATTTATTTGTCAAGAACACAGATACTTACTATTTTAGTACAACAGACGTATGTGTGTGTATAAATAAGGCACTGTATTTACAACATATTGCTCTGAGTAAAAAAAAACCTCACTCCATTTCCTCTTTATTATAGAACCATAGAATCAACCAGGTTGGAAAAGCCCTTTAAGCTCATCCGGTCCAATTGTTCCCCAGCACTGCCAAGGCCACCACTAACCCACAGCACTGAGGGCCTCATCTACACGGTGTGTGAACACTTCCAGGGCTGGTGACTCCAGCACTGCCCTGGGCAGCCTGTTCCAATGCCTGAGCACCCTCTGGGGAAGGAATTGCCCCTAATATCCAATCTAGGAAGGAATTGTTCCTAATATCCAAAGTAAACCTCTGCTGGTGCAGCTTAAGGCAGTTTCCTCTTGTGCGCACTCCTTTATTAGCATCAGGCAATGCTGAGAGTTTCGTGTTTTCCACCAGCCAAACAATTCCCCACTAATTCTGTCCCAATTAAGCAAGAATCCTTATTCACTGCTGGTAGGTTGCCTGCACTGAGTCAAGCACATATTTAGACTCATCGTGCCTCTATTACTACCACAGCTTGTAATTTTATATTTTTAAATTCAAAAAAAGGGAGAACACCTGACCCAGAACATCCTATATTCCCCGAACAACAGGTTCTGCTGAGCAGTCAGCAGCCACAACAACAGACAGCTTCTATACAAAAGGAAAAAAAGGCCTTTCTCAGGTCTGTGCAGCAGCTTCTGAAAAAAAAAGGTACCATGTATTGTTAAGCACCATCAACTGTTTGAATAGAACTGTCACGTTCATCACTTCCAAACGAGCTCAATGCATCCACAAACTTCCACAGGTTCCATCATTGTTTTTAAATGAAAAGGACCTTCTGAAATACGCTGAGATGAACTTCAACTTCCATTCCGCTGACTCGAGTGAAGCTTCAGCCAGTGAGCTCATACACGCATTAGCTTTCATTCATGTTTTACAAACCATATAGCTTTTGTTCTTAGGTAAATGCAGTCCTCCAGAATGTTTGCATTCAGGCTATCGCTATAGAAATCCCTATGGATCAAAGACATTCTTTGTTAGAAAAAATAACACCATAGAAGAATGATATAGGGAATTACTCAGTTAAGTGAGAGGGCTATATAAATACATTAGTATACTAGTGAGGCTGTGAAAGCCATCTGAAGGTAAATAATTCAGACAATCGCTTCCTTTTTAATCGCAAAACATTATCATAGAGAAACCCACTTACTTTGTCTTCTAACAATGGACAGCAAGTGAATCAGTCCCAAATCTTTTTCTTGTGCTGCATTACCACAGTTATAAACTGATCAACAAGACCCTGCATTCAGCTTCCAAAACGTCTGCAGGACTTACAAGTAGAAACAACCTTTTCTTCAGTGCTAACTCCCCTGAAGCAGCTGCCAATTTTATCCATTCAGAAAATGAGAAATTATGAATGATGAATTCTAGTGTCTGTTTTTAAATAGTCAGCTAAACAGTCTGCTTCATTTTTATGATATTAAGCCTTAATATTAAGCTATAATAAATATAAGACTTAACATTAAGTAATAATAAATATAAGACTTAATATAAAGCAGAACGGAAAAAAAGTCATGTTAACACCAAATGTATAAACTCTTTATAAAATCTTTAACTAAGGAATATTTGCCCAAATCTGAGTCCAAACCAAAACATTACTGAGAAGGTAAAAATACTAGGAAAAGTATCCCAGAATATGGCATCACACCTCTCAAAGTCTCACTGCCCCTTTGTGGTTTTAAATCTACTACTGAAAATATGCTGCACGTTTAAATCACAATGTTTTTTGGAGGGTTCTTTAGTAGCAGATACTTCTGACACAGGATGAACTTAAGAGAGGTTTCCTTAGTTGCAAGGCTTCTCTCTATGAAGGCCATCAGGCAGGAGGCAAAAGATTAGAAATATGAACTGCCAAAATAACTCAAGTGCAAAATGGACTAAACTGTTCCATTCCAATGCACGGGACATTCACCCAAAGCTCAGGAATTCAGCCCCCATGTCTTCTACTCTGATGAGCCTTCTTATTGGTACTAAAAGAAGTAAGCTGGGCTACTCAAGGTAATAAAACACAAATGGATGCATAAACATCAGCATATCAAAAGCATCTTTCTGTGCAGGGCATATCCTACCCTTCCTCACATGCAAAAGCAACTTTTGGCCTTTGCATGTTTCACAGCATTTTTCAGTATACAACAACAAGAACAGCTCATATCCCTGCAGGCTGTTACTCATGCTAAGACTAACATAATGCAAACCTGTATTTCAATGGGTATTTCCAATTTATTATCTATTTCTGCATTTTATGTAAAGATTTGATTATAATAATACAAAATATTTAATGATAATGAAACACCCGTGGATAACACGAACTGCAACAGCTCAGCTGACTTTGGTGGATGTCGACGGACATCCCTTGGGACTCACACCCTCTGTGCTCCTACTCATTAGAAACAAGTACTACGTATGCATATAGAACCACACAATGTAATGAGCTCCACAGAACTCATGAGAATGAGTTTCTATGTTTCAAACCAGATGAAATCCTATTGTTTTGTGCCTGGGTGATGGTAATAAGTCACAAACACACACAGTGCTGTCAGCTTAGGAAGCCAACACCACTTGCTGCCTGGGGGTGGCTGGGGTAACTACCTCAACTATCAGCTAGCCAACACTTTGACTCGCCTCTCTTGTTTGCTGATGCACACAATCACATCATGAGGGTTGGAAGTGAGCTCTAGAGATCATCTTATCAACCCCCCCCTTAGGTTTTCTCCTTCTCCAGCATATTCGGCTCCCACAACGAGCTGTTCACCCAATGCTCACAGCAATAATGCTCTCCCCAAAGCTGAGGATCCACGTTTCACCTCTCCAGGGCAGGGCAGAGAAGGGAGCACAAGGAGACAGGAGGGGAGGGCAGATAGGAACTGACAGCAGGGGTCAAGCTGAGCCATGGTGCCTTTTGCCTCAACAAACAGATGCTCTGGCACCCTATTTAAGGTGAAACCCCTTCAGTTTCTCAGCAGAACGCCTGAACACACTGCTGGTTGTAGAGGTGTTAAAGGCCCAATATACCCCCCGTACACAACAGGCAGGCCTATAGAAATACCCCCACACAAACACACTGCTGGTAGGTCCACACAGCTACACAGAGTGACTTTTTACAAAGGCATGTAGCGGCCCTTGGGGGAATTGTTTTAAACTGGCAGAGATTTTGGTTAGACATTAGGAAGTTGTTCCTTGTGCTGAGGCGCTGGCACAGGGTGCCCAGAGAAGCTGTGGCTGCCCCATCCCTGGCAGTGTTCAAGGCCAGGTTGGACACAGGGGCTAGGAGCAAGCTGCTCTAGTGGAAGGCGTCCCTGCCTGTGGCAGGGGATTGGAAGTGGATGAGCTTTAAGGTGCCTTCAACCCAAACCAGTCTGGGATTCTATGATCCAGCGATACCATACACCCCACAGGCAGCCCATACACATGCGCCCCAACACACACATCAAGGCAAGCACGTATATACATAGATACATATACATAACCCTCACACACAGCACACGCAGGCCCATATAGATGTACTCACACACACCCCCTGCCCTGGGACACCCGCTGCCGCCACGACAGGCCGCGGCCGGGCCCCGCGCCCTCCCCCGCCGCTGCTTACACCTCCATCTTGTCAGGCCCTGCCGCCGCGCTGCGAGCTTCCCCTTGCACTGCCACAGGCACCCGGAGCCCGCCGGGAGACAGCGAGGGCAGTGCGGGAGAGGCCGCGTTGAGCTGCAGGAAGTTTTGGCTGCCGGAACGGAAGCGGAAAAGGAAGGAGAAATAAGGGGTGCGGGGGGAGAAAAAGATCAACTGCATTGGCCGGGAATCGAACCCGGGCCTCCCGCGTGGCAGGCGAGAATTCTACCACTGAACCACCAATGCCGACGATGATAACGCTGTTTGCACGCTGTAACTTGTAACGAGCGCGACAGACGTGAGCTCTGTTAAAACACCCCGATCCTGGCAGTTACCTGCTGCCAACTATGAGAAGGGGAAATAGTATTCTAAGAGGCCCTTCCGAATCAAATCTAGTCATGCGCAATACAGTAAGGCTGAGCTAGTTGTAGAATACTCCCATCGTCTCTTAAAGCACATGTACATAACCTTATCAAGGGCATCACTGTCATATGCCTTTTCCTACCATCACTTCTTCCCCATTTAATTTAGGTGCTGCTAAGTTATTCCAGAGCCCTTTTCATTCTCAAGATAACTGAAGATACATCATTGAATGCAAATAGCTAAAAATCCATTTGGCTACTGCAAGGGAAACAGTCTGACTGAGAGCCAGAATGAATTAATTAATTAATTTTGCCATTATCTCTCAGGCTCAAGTTTATCTGCAAACCCAGCAACACTGCCTAAGGTGTCTCATTCACTTGTTTGCAGCTGGGCTGTAAGCAAACTGGGGAACCAAGTGGATTAGACTTGTGGTCACAACCTCCCTCTTGCAATACCAACACAAAATCCACCAGCCATTTAACTCTTTCCAGCCATACCACAAGAAAGTCCACTCCCACTTTTGGGATTTTACTTCTCCTTGGGATGTTGCAAATCCTAAATCAATTCTGAATAATGTGAATATACTGCAGTGCTTCAGAAACAGGCAGGACAGCAGGCAACAAACTACTCCAAGCTCTGCAGTAACCATTGTCATCAAATCCCTAAGTGCTAGGCAAAGTTTGAAAGCCACCTGCAAAGCTTTTTTAGCCCTTTTCTGCTGAAGACCCTTAAAAAGGCTTCAGTGGACATGTGGAGCCCATCATGCACAGGTATGGCAGTGGTACAGCTAGACATTAGGTATACTCCAGAATCATTTGTCATGGAGTCCTATGGAAAAAGAGCCATGGGAAGGTCTTCAAACTGCAGACTGAAAGCTGTTGGTATGACTCAGTGGATAGGATGTAACAGATGCTGACCTTTTGCATGTCAGGATTAACCGGCATTGTAAGTTGGCCAAAACCTGCACAGCAAATGCTCTGTAACTTCTCTGCCATGTTTCAAACCCCGCACGTGAAACTGCCTGTACACCAGCTCCCAGGCAGGCTAAAGGGAATAAAGAAGGGAAAGGATGTTAGCTTTCATTTGAAAATATGGCATTTTCCAAGACTATCAAATTTCAGAGTTTTGATCCAGAAATCTATTAATCCTTGCCTGCCTCTCATCACTCTCTCTAGATACAGCTTCAGAATCTTCAGCATATGACTTTCATTTCTCTTTTGCATCCCCTCTTTATAGCTCTCCCCCATCACCAATTTATCATCTTCATTTTAATTGTTTCTCCAAAAGTTTCATTCCAGACCTTTGCTGCTGTAGTTTTTTACAATCCATGATGATGATGCCTGATCCCAGCAGCTGGGGTAAATGAGCAAATCCCAAATGCCTCTTTCCACAGCTAGTTATTTAAATAGGGATATTCTTCCTAAGTATTTCCAATGGAGACATGTATGTTAGAGTGTAAATATATATATATATGGAGCAGCTGCAGGTCCATGTGAGGGAGAAGGGGAATATCTAAGAGAGAATTCATTGTCTTTACACACAACTTTTCAGGAGATGGCAATTAGCTCAGTTCACTTTGCTTTGAATTGCTGCATTTTGGTGTTAGACAGTTATGCTACACCATCCATAGGGAATGCAGACATAGGTTTTACTAAATGTGCTTAGCATGTCAACATTTTAAGCATTGGCTTGTGATTGTTAACACTAAGGCTTGGTGAGAGAGGGGCCTCGGTATTAACTATTGAAAGCAGGGGGCCTAGTAATTGCTATTGAAAGCAGATCTGCGGGGTATTTGTGTTCTTTGTCATGAAAGATGTTTACTGGATTCAGCATTTCGCTGAGCACCATTTAGTGTCTTTTTTTGTCCTTTTACATTCAAAATTCATTAAACAAAGTTGGGGTTTTTTTCCCAACAGAAAATGTCAGCACTGCTCCACACCAGTGCCGCTGACAGTGTGTTGGAGCAGCACTTTCAGCCCACAGAGCTTTTATTCTTGTCCTAAACCAAAATGACAGTTAAAAAAAAAAGGAAGATTTTTAAAGCAGGTGCACTGCAGCAGTGTCTGCATCCTTTTTCTTCCATAAGTGAGTCCTAACATGAAAAATGCACTTCTAGAAACCACCAAAGCGCTCTTTGGAGCTGCACTCCCCAGGCATTGCGCTCTTCCAGCAACAAGTGCACTTGGAAAGGAATAGTAAGGCTGTGACTGATGACAAAAGCAGGCACAAATAAAGTTCAAAACTTTGAGGACATTCAAATACATTTAATTAAACTTCATC